AACAGTGTTGCCTCACGCGGAATGTATATAATGTATATTTTATGTAGTGTATTTATTGGCAGTAAGCATGAGTTGATTGTCGATACCTATTTCTTTCGAGATTCCCACCTCGAAAAACAACTGTGCTGCATTGGAAGCTGAATACAAAATTAACAAACAAGAGGTATATAGCCGCGTATTTAAAGCGTCGTGAAGGTCATGATGGCGCATCCTCAGATGGCGCTATGTAGTATCCGTCATTGGGCAGGTAGGTATAGGAGTAAGCAGTATGCAAAAAAAAATAAAAATTGTAATACCGAGGAAAGAGGAAAGAGGAAGACGAAGAAAATGTGAAGAAGACGGATGAACCACTCACTCCTCCGTGATCAAGTCCGGAGGCGATCCGCTGATGTCCACCTTGCCTTTGTCGTCCATCTGCGCATCCTCAATGCTGACATCCACACCGGCCTCCCTGCATCCGCGCTCCTCTTCCTCCGCAAGCCCCAAGGTATCTCTAGGCAGCCACACGGTGCGCTGCGGTCGCGACACGGCCGGGTGGGCAAAGCCATAGTCCTCTTCGGCCTTCGCTTTCCCGGTGGACTTGAGGCCGACGGAGTCCTTGACATCGCGCGGGGTGATCTCGATGGACGAGTCCGCGACGGCCGAACTCTGGCCTGCGGATGGCGAAGTTTCATCGGCGTCGGGAGGGAGCTCGGTAGCCGGTGTTCCCCCATACGTCCTGTCTTTCAAGCTCAGAGGGAGCGCGTGCAAGAGGGGCCCGTAGGAGTTATTGATGATGATGTTAAAGCCGGCCTGGATCACATAATATGGTTGTAAAAAATAACTTGGAGGCATATACCTGGAACGGGAGCTTACAGTGATGACAATGAGGACCACCATCAGTGCACCTTGAGGGATCGCGCTTGCCTTTCTCTCCGCGTTTCTGGCAAGGAAAAACAACGCAGTCAAACACACCTGCTGGACGTAGAGGCCCACAAAGATGTGTTGGATCGCCTTGGGGAAGAACAACCCTCCAGTATCGCTGGTCGAGGGCTGGCCGAACTGCCAAAGGAAGAGGTACTTGTACAGCTGGTAAAACAAAAAGAACGTAGCACATGCGAGGCCGTTGATGATAGGCGAGATAATTGAGTATCCCAAAGCTGTGGTACGGCATTATTAGCGTCGTTAAAATGTATGGGGTCGGGAATTTACCTATGACGACGAGAAGAGTAATACCCGGGAAGGTCGTTCCCCACGCCACATTCCGCAGTCCGTATTTGATGTTATATACGGCGCGAGGTGTGCTGCCCAGAATGAAGAGCTTGACGTAGTAGATGATCAATGGTACAATCTGCAAGAACCCTCCGGCGACTCCTGATAAACCTTGGAGCGTGATGTATCTAACAGCCAAACCAAGATGAGAGGTTGAAAGAAAGAAACGAAAATGACTAAACATACGTGAGGAAGAAGGTTGATGCAGACGGGAGGTTCTGTGCGAGAAGCCCGGGGATGGAGGATGGGTCCTTGAGGAGACCTGGTAGCGCCTTGATGATTCCGGAACTCAGCGTCACGATGAGGAACGAGTGCTACAAGAAAAAGAGAGGGTATATCTGAGATGGATCCGGAAATAACGTTGGAAGATATACGCACGACAACCTGGAAGATGAAAAAGCGGGTCATCAACGATAATTCGAGGCCGGTGTATTTCGGGATGCCCTCGAAGCGAGCAAGGAGACGTAGGAAGATGGGCAGAAGCATCATGAGGACGGCGAGTAGGACGGGAGGAAGAATACCGCTGATGATGCCAACGACGACTGGGGGAAGTCTGCAGATCCATGCAAGCCAGGATGTGCTTTCGCAGAGTCCGTAGATGTTGGAAATGACACCGACAAATGCCACTAAGGAAAGACGAATGAGTTCAAGCGTGCGGCGAGAATGAGGGGTTGCGAACCAGGGAAGGCCCAAAGGATGATCAACCCGGCAGTCACTGCGTAACTGATGGCGAGGCGGGCCTACGAGTAATATCGGTCCAAACTTCAGCATTTTACGAGGTTAGAGAGCTGTACACTGACCTTTTGCTCATACGGATTAAGATTAAGGTTGGCCCAGATGACGTCCTCAGGGCTAACTTCAACGTACTTTCCGCCTAACGAAGGGTAACGATGTTAGATATGTACCGTAAGGTTGAAGATGGCGCAGGACGCGAGAACTCACTCATCCTGTAGGGCTCGTGGTGGGTCAACACCTGCATCGCCAAATGCGCTGCAATCTGCTTGTGGAATGTGACAAAAGCGCTGTTGAGTGGCGGGTAGCTCTTCTTCTTTGTCCCTTTCCCTTTCCCTGACACGTCCTCGCTGGATCCATCCACACTCGACTGCTCCTCGACTTCCTCACTCCGATCCTTCTCGCCCTTTCCGTCGTTCTCGATAACCGAACGGCCTTCCTCTAGAAGCTCAGTGCAAATACGGATCTCCTCGCGCGCCCACTCTATGGTATCCACTTTCTGTCCAGTGAAGGGTAAAAATCCAAGCCGATGCGTGGGGCGTTTCTCCTTGGGCACAATGACGGAATCAATCGTGGGCGGGGATGCCTCAACGTCTGCATTGGCTCCGCTCTTCTGGTTTTTCTTGATTTCTTCGAGACGCAACTTGGCGGCGGTGTTCATCAGAGCGGTTTCGGCGGATTCGAGCTTATTGCACGCATTGGTTCGTCGATCATAGATATCGGGAAGCTCCTTGAGATCCCTGAATACCGGATGTTAGATGGAAATCGGATTGAGTAGGGAAGGGCGCACCTGTTTATCCAGATCTTCTTGACGCCGCCTGGAAGGTCATTGAACACCTTATAGAGAGCCTCCGACGAGAGATAATTCTTCGGGATTCCTGTGACCAAAAGGGTATTCGCCTGTACAGACTTCGCGTGAACGGGGTTGACGAGGTGCTGCTGGCGTTTGAGGATGAAGTCCCGCATTTCGAGCTTAATGTTGTAGAATATCCAGACTAGAAAACGAACGACATTTAGCAGCAGCTTTGGTGGAAAAAATAGGCGGTCACATACAGGTAAAGAAATAAACCAGGATAAGTTGTGCAGCGTAACGCGACTGCTTATCGGGAGAGATGTTGCCGAAGACGAATATGTCCAATCCGGAGTTGCGTCCAACACGCGTGTTCACGCTAGTAACGGGAAGCAGGACAGCCCAAGAAACAATCCAGATAGGGAGGAAGATTCGGGCCATCATACGTAGGAAGCGAACGAAGAAGTACGAGTCCATTCCATTGGCGTTGATAATAGTGGTATAGTCCGCCCTGAATACCGCGATTGGCCACCCTAGGAGGGATTTGCTGAGGGGTTGAATTCGTTTCCTATTTTTGGAGAAAAACGCGGTTATTACGCCGAAAAAGAAGATAGACGCGTCAAAGGTGAAGAAAGAGGAGTGTAGACGGCAGAGCAAATAACCATGGTGCGAACCAAAATATGTAACCCGCCGTTGCTGTGGAGTGGGGGGTTCTGAACGGCCAACACGAGGTGTCTGGATTTTCCCCCTATGCCCAAGACAGACAGGGCACGTCCCGTCGCTCAAGATGCCACTCATATCGGCTGGTGAACTTGTCTAGTGTGTAAATATCATTACTCACGATGGGGCTGGGACATAAGTTCGTGGTTCATAGATGGCCTTGAACCAAGGCCGAAGGAGCGTAAATGCTGCGATTTCAGCAGCGAACACGATGCCGTTGAAGGCGAGGGCTGTCAGGAAAGTCGCCGTCGAGGCCGACTTCGCCTGCTGGATATTTGACCTAGAGATTCTGTGAGAAAGGTATTCTGGCGGGGTACGAGGAGGACATACATGGCGGTCAGAAGCAAGGGCTCAGCCGTCCATTGGATTTGGGTTGGTGGCCCTTTTTAATTCTTGACGTCAATCGCGGCTAAACTTGGCTATGCCCAATCTAAGGATCGGCAATCTCCGCGATCATGACCAAATCTGTACCCACAGCTCCTCCTCGAGCCCTCTCCACTTTAAACAATACACCTCAGCTGCTCAAATTTCCCCAAATCCAACTGAATTCGGACTACTCAACTGGATATGGAACTCGCATTTTCTTGTTGTTGTTTGACGGGGCCAATGGAAAGCTGATGCAGTGTCAATGCGGACACTGCCGCAATTCCGTCTTCCGTTTTTTTTTCTACACCGTGGCCTGGACTCGGACTTCAGCTTCAGCCGTGAAGACATCCTGGCATGCCTCAGCCCTGTTTCGTTCATCCGATGCGATCCCCTGTCAGGCCTCGTTCCGGCCTGTCCCTTGATAGGACGGATATGTACGACGTATGTAGGTAGGTACGATCTGCCAATCCGCAATTTACATAGCTTTGACCAAGGCTCACCAAGCTTTCACAGAACACCGCAAGTCCGCTGGCTGTACTTGGGCTGTGCGTACTATAGTTTAGCTGGATCGGTGCACAGGCTATATAGACGCCAAGCCCCGCTACTCTACCCCACATCTGTCTGACGTCCACCGATTCGGAGCCCTTTCAACCTTCAGGAGGGCGATCCTTCGGCTATTTATGTTCGCTTCCGTCCCGAATTTCCAACTTGGCCTATGTTTAGGCCATGGCCCTCGTGTCCCAAGGCATCGGAGGCGAAAATAGATCTGAAGTTCCACTTGAACGACACGCCACACCTAGTCTCCCAAAGAGACGCGGAACTTACTTGAACCTGCGCAAGCTTAGAATTTCTGTTCTGGCTGCCACACCCAGCTCTGCTCCATGATCCGCCCATCGCTCAGCGCTCAAGGTCTCCATTGCTCGAGACAGCTCGAGACCCTCGCTCGCGCTCCATCGGTGCTGTACTAATGGAAGCATAACCCTAGCCCTCTTAGCTCAGTGGTAGAGCGCGTCACTAGTATTAGGACCAACACTTTTTTAAGTAAAATGACGAGGTTCAAGTCGGCTAGAGGGAAAGGCCAATAACTTTTGCGAGCAGCAAGAGCGCAGACAATGGATAGTATGAATGGTCACATTGTGTGTCCCTCTTAGCTCAGTGGTAGAGCGCGTCACTAGTATCCGCTTGGTATTCGACAAGTATATGACGAGGTCAGTCGTTCAAGTCGGCTAGAGGGAATTTTTGTTATGGTATCCTTTTCGTCATTGTTTCTCCCCTTTTGCTTGTCGTTTCGTCCGAGTGTTTTGAAGGAGGAAAGCTTGTGGAAGCAGCGGTACTTGATGAGCTGACCAAAGGTTAAACTTAAAGGTAGTTATACATACATACGTAAATGAAGACGTCCAAAGTGATGTCACCGTGACAGAGTCATCTCTCTTCGTTCTCTCTTTGTCTTTTCTCTCGCTTCAATCAGCACAAATGTCAAGTAAACCAACAAAACCTATCCCGCTGCCTTCCAATCCCAAACTTCAAGCGCAAGGTCGACACCGACCACCGACACCCAAGTTAGCGCGACTACACCTAGTCTCCCAAAGAGACGCGGAACTTACTTGAACCTGCGCAAGCTTAGAATATCTGTTCTGGCTGCCACACCCAGCTCTGCTCCATGATCCGCCCATCGCTCAGCGCTCAAGGTCTCCATTGCTTGAGACAGCTCGAGACCCTCGCTCGCGCTTCATCGGCGTTGTACTAATGGATGCATACCCCTAGCCCTCTTAGCTCAGTGGTAGAGCGCGTCACTAGTATTAGGCCCAACACTTTTGTAAGTAAAATGACGAGGTCAGTCGTTCAAGTCGGCTAGAGGGAAAGGCCAATAACTTTTGTGAGCAGCAAGAGAGCGCAGACAATGGATAGTATGAATAGTCACATTCCCAATCCAAGTTGTGTCCCTCTTAGCTCAGTGGTAGAGCGCGTCACTAGTATGCGCTTGGTATTTGACAAGTACATGACGAGGTCAGTCGTTCAAGTCGGCTAGAGGGAATTTTTGTTATGATATCTTTTTCGCCATTGTTTTCTCCCCTTTTGCTTGTCGTTTCGTCCAAGTGTTTTGAAGGAGGAAAGCTTGTGGAAGCAGCGGTACTTGATTTTGGATGTCAATGAGCTGACCAAAGGTTAAACTTAACGGTAGTTAGTTATACATACGTAAATGAAGACGTCCAAAGTGATGTCACCGTGACAGCGTCATCCCTCTTCGTTCTCTCTTTGTCTTTCCTCTCGCTTCATTCAGCACAAATGTCAAGTAAACCAACAATACCTATCCCGCTGCCTTCCAATCCCAAACTTCAAGCGCAAGGTCGACACCGACCACCGACACCCAAGTTAGCGCGACGTGCATCGCTGACTGCAGGTGGTCCAAAGGCGCAACGCACGTCGAAGACATCACAAAAGCTCGTCGTCCTACCTTCTGCGCCGCAGACAAAACCGCTTCTTGCAGATTTAGATGAGGACTTGACGCTGGGTCATGAGACGGACGGTGGAGTGAGGGAATACAAGAGCCAGGCGGAGCGGATGAGCAAGGAGCAGAGAGAGAACGCGGGATTCAAGCGAATCACGGCGTACTGCGTTGCGGAATCGTTCAAGACAAAGCTGCTAGCATCTTTTTTGAAGAGGGAGCATAACGTCGCGCCGCGGGTGTTTGACGAAGCGTTATATGTCGTACGCCTGCTTTCATCTCGATTTGCTTTGGTGTACTGACATTGGCCGTGCAGATGTACCATCTGCCTCTTCTCCCAGGATACGGCCCAGACGCGAACGTGCGCTCTTCTGTGCTCGTACAAGCGTCTTCCCGGAAGTCCTTCTTGTCTCGTCTGTCTGAGGCCGAGGAGAATGGATACCAAGGGTCCTACTTCAGTTCACAGCCGCCGCCGTCCAGCTCTCTCGAGGGGTACATATCCTCTTCTTCACCTGTCGAAACCCGCAAGTTCCTCCCAGAGTCTGCTTCACTCGGCGGACTCGAGCCACTTTCGGAAACCGAACAGGAACATTCCGTCTCGGAGGCGGAACAGGAGCAGGAGGAGGACCCAGCACAGTTCGCGTTCACTTCGTCTTCCTCAGAGACCGAAACCCTGCCTCAGCGCGTCCACGGAAAATCACCGCCGCGCGCCAAGCCCACCGAGGAGGAAGTGGCAGAGGTGGTGTTCTTTGAGTACGGGGTTGTGGTGTTCTTTGGCCTGGAGGAACGACAAGAGCGGGATATCGTGGAAGATATTGGGCGCGCTGGTATCATGAGGCGTCCTATCGAGGAACAGAATTGGGAAGTGGAAGAATGCCACTTCGCAGTGCGTTGTCCAAACCCTCATCTTTGCGCGTTTCTGACGCACTGCTGCAGCATGACCCAAATATCTCGTATCCTCGGATATACAATGACTTCTTCAGTGCGTAGTACTTGCGCCTCGTACATCTTCTATGTATTCGCTGACCCCGCCTCTTCCAGCCCTGAAATCGCGCTCCCATCTCCTCAAGCTTTCTATCGCGCACGCCCTTGCTCAATCCACCCTCCTTGCGCACTACGAGACTACCGCCCAGCGCGTGCTCTCATCGCCCCTCGCGCGTGCCATCCCCGTGCAGCTTGCCATCTCCGGAAAGCTTCAACTCCGCCGCAGAGACGCGTTGAAGCTCACTGGCCGCCTATTCAAACTGCGTCGCGATGTGAACTTGGTGTCGAATGTCCTTGATGTGCCGGAGCTTTTTTGGAGCGAAGCAAGTCTGGATGAGCTGTATGAGGCTGTGAGGGAATATATGGAGATCAAGGGTAGAGTGCAAGTGTTGAATGAAAAATTGGGAGTGGCGAGCGATTTTGTGAGTTTCCTCGCCAGTATTCTCCGTTATGATTTCTGATTTACTGGAATAGCTGGAAGCGATACATGATCATTTGAATAATAACGAGATGACCCGGATTACCCTCGTCGTCATATGGTGGGCTCCCTCTCTCTCGCTTTCCGATCTCGCGCACTACATTGACTAACCCTGGTATGTCTTGTCTGTTATCAGGCTCATTGTTATCGCCGTCGTTGTCGAACTGGTTCGTCGTCTCGCTGCCTACTCGCCCTACTTGCTAATAAATCTTTCGTCTAAAAAGGGCGAGATCATCGCACGTCTCGTCGTTCACTCCACCATACGAGATGGTATAGAGAACGCTATACCTGTGCCCAGCACCCTTGCAAGGGAGGACGTGTTGCGTGTTCTAGATCGCATGATGTTGCAGTCCCCATGATTTTGACCCGAACGCTTCTGCCCAGTTGAGTATTATCTTTACACGTCGATTTTGGATGCTTTTCGCTGCTTTCAGCTTGTACACTGTGTATTCTTATTTCTAGACAACGAGATTGGTACCTTCGATTCTGCGACTTTGAAAACATCCATCAGCGGTGTTTCTTGTGATACAAGCAGCGAATGTCATGGTGTCGCGAACACGATGGGAAATACGCCGAAATGGATCCTGTTTTTCATGCTGCGATTGCCCAAGGCCACTGCCTGGCGTCGCGTGTCCTAGCCCGTCATTCAGTGTGACATTCAAGTGTATATATGGGGCCCTGGTAGCGGCGACAATCTCTCCGAGTGCGTAAAGCAAGTATGTCTCCAGCAGCTTATGATCCCTCTCAGTTCCATAGTCGACGCCGCCGATACATCCCAAGCGTTTGGGCCGTTGTCACAAAAGTCAGTGAGCGCTTCATCAATTGTGGGAAATCTTTCTCACTATTCGTATCTATTTTGCCCTCTGGACCGCCAGTAGATCTCGATTATCTCTGAGAAGACAGAAAATCCCCACCAAACCACGGAGCAGCGGTAATAATTAGGCGCTAGTGAATACACATATGAAATGGTGCAATTGCATTTTCAAGCTATAATCCCCATCCGTCACCACCGCCGAAAAGCATTCTAATGGAACACAAGCTATTGAATTGGTTGGGAAAGTTCTTGCAGGTGCTGGAATTGTCGGGGATGGCCACTGGCGATGCACAACCTTGCACAACGGGTATACAGGTGCCGCAGGCCCAAGTTGGTGCAAAATCACTGCAAAATGGCAACAGAATTGCAAGTTTACGCCCGGGTCCGAACTCGAAGTGATCGACGTTCGAACGGTGATCTACATCAACATTGCACAACTCCCACAGGCCGCGTGCGGACATGACGCCTTGTCTGTTAATGGCAACTTCGTCAACCACCGAGGGCCGGAGTCTGAGCCCTTATTTGATGTACCTGAGTGAACTGATGAAGTATGTACTGCAACTTACGAAATTCCCCATCCATAGTCAAGTCATGCAAAGAATCATATGCGTGATGCCAACATGAGAATGGAAATGATTATGGCTGCTCATCTTCAAATTATCGCGTTGGATCAGTGCTACTAAATCATAATATCATATGTCGCTAGATGTGCTGGTTGTGATGGATATTTATGCTTAACGGTCCACACCACAATCAACCGGTCAACTCCAGTATGCCGTGATTCGAAAGAACGAAATCTTCGCATGACACATGAATCCAGTGGACCGTTCTTCGACAGTTCTGCGCCAATAGGTACTTTGTCTGAACACGTAGTGGCACAGAGACCTAGCGCCGCACCATAGTGGCCATGGTATGGGTCATGTATATACTAGTATCTCAGATTTCACACCGCACGCGCCACATTCCTTTACGACTCTCATATTGGCATTGTAGGCGCCACAGCATAACTCAGACCTTTCACCGCGATCACTACGAGCGGGCAGTTGCACTTCCAAAAATAGCTCCGACGAACTTTGGCTATTCCGTGGGTATCTTTTCTCATGATGTTTCCTTCATTGCCTCGTCTCGAAGCAATAGGTGAGAATGACGTGAGTTTCGTCAAAACATATCGAACGGCAGGAGACAGTAAAGGATTCCGAGTCAAAAAAGCGTCCGTGCGTCCCAGAGTCGGGACAAGCTTAAGCGACTTGTCACTGATACAAGACGGCGAAAGTAATTCAGGCTGACAGAGATGGTCAAGACAGGGGCAGGATAACTTGATGGGCGAGAGCATGACCGCCAACTTTGACAAGAAGACGTGACTGGAAGTGAGTAAGGGTTAAACTTATCGAACAAAGCTTAAGAAGTCTTGTATATTTCAAACGCGTGAGTCATTACTTGCTCAAATGTCCCGACCACCATTCCTCGAACAAGGACACATCCAGGGAAGCATCTCCTCCCTCTCCAAGGCGCAGATCCTCCGTTTCCCTAGTGTAAAGCTGACAGTCCCGTGGGCGCGTCGTTGCACCAGGTCCAGTCGGTGGCTCCGCATCAGGAATGATGTGTCCATGCGGGAGACCAAGAACCTTGGCGAATACAAGACAGATCTCGTACTTCGTGAATGGCTCTGCGGCGGAGTAGTGCAAAATTGGAGGGGTCGCTCGCTTGTATCCTGTTTGACAAGTCAGAAAATCGAACAACGTAGTCAAGAATCAAGTTATTTTGTCAGAGGAATTTGCAGAAAGATAACGCTTGAAAACACACCAGATAGCCGAACCAGGAATTGCGCGATGTCAACGACATTTGTGGGGTACCGCGTGGCGTAGTGGTCCATCTTGTATGTTTTTCCCGATTGATCTTGTACAACGTCTAGAAGAATGTTGATAGCCGAGTCAGAGTTTTTGGGAGCAGGTCCGTATCTATGGAACGATAGTCAACACGTGGGCCAGTTCTGATGAAATTGCGCAAAAAAGTACACACAGAACTGGGACACGCAAAATGATGACGGATGCTCCATCCACGCCTAGAACGGCCAGTTCACCATCACGCTTCGATTGTCCATATAGTTGTAAGGGGTTGGTTGCAGAAGAAGGTGTATAAGGTGGCGAAGTTCCGTCAAAAACATAATCTGTGAATGGTGGTTAGTCGTCATCGATTCATCCTCCAGCTTGCTGATAGGTCCGAACCGGTCGAAATGTAGACCAAGGTGTACTTGAGGTTTCTGGAAATTGAGGCCAAATGCTCCGGAACCTGCGCATTGAGCTGTAAGAGCCG